CTCAGAGCCGATGATCCGAGTCGATGGTCCTCAAACATCATTATCAACCTCGTGTAAGCTCATCAAAGAAAGAATACATATTGATTAGTGATACCGAGGTTCAAGGAAAGTCGGTTTCCAAATGTTTCGTAATATAACTCGTATGATAATATAATATAACTCGTAATATACATAACTCGCCGATTTGGGCTCCCCAGATCAATCCCGTTGACGGGTGATTGCTGATGGCAAAAAGATCGATAGAACTAGCTGAAAGACAGGCAAGACGAAGGACCCGGATGGTGTAGTCTTGAAGTGTGCTCCTCCCCGGTAAAGACAACAGCGCGTATTCGTTCCCCACTGCATACACCTGCGGTCCAGAGTTTTGCAACTATCTCAGCATTTCATACGAGTTATATTTCGCAACATATCCTGCCATTAAGAAGAAAAAGCCAGTAAATAAAAGGGTTAAGATTGTTTCGTAATAGTTCCCAAGATCGACTTCCTATTAACCTCGGCACTGGATTGTAAATCTGTTGTTCTCTTTTTTTCAGAACAATCGCGAGGTTATTATTCAGCACACGTTTACTTCCTCACAAATATAACACACACAACACAACGGTAGCTGATGTTTCGGTAGTATCGCCTTCTTCAGAGCTTGGAAAGGTACACTGACATGTAATTTACTAGGTCAAACGCTTCAACAACGCAAACAGAGAAATCTGAACAATAATTACCGGCTTCTCGAAAAACCCACCGATTTTTATCTGCTTTCCACTATGGAAAAACAGCCGCTTAGAGTCGCATATGGCTGATTACTGCACCACCCCACATCAAAAATCAGTTCTGAGATACGGGGCTAGATTACGTGTTAACTCGCGCTGTTCTGTAGTACCCTGATGTTATACCTCACCAATGAAGACGGAGTACATCGATCAGTCATGTCGAGGCTAAATAAGAGTCGGTTTACAATAGTAAAACGATGACTGTTTGAAAGAAGCTGCTCATTACGCGGCTAAACATTCGTGTAATATCTCAAAAGACTGACTTTTATAAACCTCGACACAAATAATCGATATATCTACATCGATATTTATACTTCCTTATGAACTGATACGTTGAGCTGATGCGAGGTTGCCATATTTGACTTCATTGTTGCTGATGTTGTTCGTCGATAGCCGACGTTGAAACGAAAAATTTCGCCTTCTTCAGGGCTTCTACGAGTGGGACTCAGAAAGTGGATTAATATGCAGCAATAAGTTACACTGACAATTGTATAGCTTTTGGTAGTATATTCAGATAGTCGTGTTGATAGACGTTGTCACAGTTGCTAGTGGAAAATATGCCTTCCGAGTCAGTTCTCGACACCGAATAATCACTAGATTTAAGCAAAATGCTCGGCTTCGTAAAAGAACGCAACGCAGGACTTTTCGTAGCTGTCACAGAGAAATGACTCAAAATTGGGCAATTATATAAAGTTTGTATGCATAAATGCAACACCAACACAACAGAAACAACGACAAAAAATACTGGCATAAGAACAAGGCAAATTCAATATTATGAGGCACTATAACTACCAATGAAGTGAGGCCAATAAGGACATAGGGGCATTAGAATGCTGTTATAACATCAATACAACAATAATAGCAGCCTGATAGGAGTGACGAGTAAGGGGATGCAGATGATGGCACCCACACTGGTGCGTACACTGGCTAAAATGCCGAGAGCTAGAAAAACAGAGAACAGATAGATCACATCATCCAACGGTTAGGTGCACTCTGACATGATCCATAAGGATAAAAGTTACATGAACACCGATGCTGCAAACGACTACGAACGAGATGAGTCAACTGCAGAACACTGCCAGGTCAGGCGGCTGGTCTTGGAAAACGATATGTCAGCAGCGTGAAGTATGAGCATCGGTAGGTGCCACTCTATCTTAAAGAAAGATAGAGACACAAAATAAAGCGAATGAGGACTGGCAAGCCGTCTATAGCGGCATAAAAGATATTAAGCACAAGTTGGCAGATCAGCGGCTTTGCACGAATGGTGCACATTGTGGGGGGAATGGTACATGTCACCGATGGTGTTGTAGACACTACACATTTGAGGATAACGGCGCTACTGACAAAGCACAGAGGACCAACTGATAAACAATGGACACTGATACGGGGATGAGGATGAGGATGAAGATCTGGATGAGGATGTACCGGGCTGATTGAAAGCGTAACGGAGTAATGGTAGTGCGAAGTTAGTGTGCAATTCGCAACTGTTGTGTAATAGCGATAGAATGAAGTTAATATACAATAATGACCACGTGCAATATGAGCTAACAACTGCGACAATGTACATAGGCAACGGATTTCATCAATAGGGGGTGAATCGGGATGGTAACTCACGAAGCTATTTATATGTTTCTGGAGAAGGTGGGATTTGGCACAGGTCCAGCATCTTTACCGAAAACATTTATCGGTTACTGTTTCCAAATCCGCTCAAAACCAGAGATCAGCTGGCGGAAGACGGCTCTCGTAAACATCCCCACGACCTTTGTGTTATTATACGCATGATAACTTCTAGACAGTAATAATAAACAACCAGCTCCGATTGCAAAAATAGATTTGCATAACAAGACTGTTTATAGCGATCAAAGTTCCTTAGGATCAGACGAAAATATTTACGTACTACGACATTTCCCAAGCGATTTGAGAAACAGTGGATATGATCATTACTACAGAGACATACGATACCAGGAAGAAATAGTAACTATTCTGGTAATATTTGCTATAGAAGCAATGAATCTTCCAATGGATCAAAATGTATTTAAACTGTTGAACATATATGAAGTTGACAAGTACGCTTTATTCGACTAACGTTTCGACGTCTTGGTCTTCTATCGTTCCCCTTTTTACAGCTATCGCGAGGTTGTTATTCAGCACACGTTTACTTCCTTACACATAGAATCACGGATTTACCTCGTATGAGGATTCTCGAGCCGGTTGGTCGCGAGGCCACGTGGCGCATCCCCAGGTGGTGGATAGGGGATTAATAGCGGACCAAAAGCGACCATTGCTTCCTTGAGACGCAGGTCGACTCAAGAGATGGACTCCCTGTTTCTGCCACGCCGATTTGGCACATGCTTTCTGTATTTGCTAGAGGTATTCATGCATGCGTGTGCGGGTGCGTTCTTGCTTATGCGGTTTCTATTCTACGAGTCAATTCGGCCAGAAGCCTGCAATCAAGTGAAAGGGAAGTATATGGGAGGCGGCTAGGAGTTGTCTCCAACAAATAAACTCAATGACGACTCTGGGAGAGCCTGGCAAGTTACCCGTGAGTACACCCGGCCCCACGTTTAGAGCCCACCAAGCTATACGTAGGTATCAAAATGCTAAACGCAGTAAAAAAACGGACCTCATTCCCCTGACCCCGATAGGACCCCCAAGTTAGCAGCGTTGGGTAGGACGAGTACGGACAAGCTGAGAAAATCTCAGAGCCAATAGAAGCTACCAGGATTAGAAAGAACTAAGGTGACGATCTGCATATACAATGCACATACACTTGCATCCGAGTCCTCGATAGAAAACTTGCTCACGCAAGCAAGGACGATAAGGTACGTCATCGACATTGCCGAGACGAGGCGACGCCACCCATTCAATGCCGTCTATAACACCGTAGACGAACTGTTCCATCGAACATGCGACTGTAGAGGAGTCGGCGGAGTCGGCGTTCTCGTCAACACGAGTTTGTCCATTGATTCATTCGAACAACTTGCAACCCGAATCGGACGTTTACGATTAAGAAGACTTGGATCAATTTCGGCTTTGACAATCTTCGTCGTTTACGCGCCGACATCAAACTATGACGAAGAAGAACTCGAAGCGTTCTATATGGACTTGGGGAAGCCACACATTCTTCAAGGTCATCATTGGAGATTTCAACGCCAAAATTCGACCAAGAGGATCGACTGAAGCACGTCACATTGGGACCCATGGATTAAAATGGAACGAACAGAGTGAGCGGCTGTCTGAGTTTACCATGACGACCAAGACCATCCATAGTAACTCGCAACTCCAGAAGCCCCACCCTCTAAACTGGACGTGGGAGTCTCTCCATGGAGAGTACTATAACGAAATAGACCGCATCATAGTAGATAGAAAGTTTCGCCTAACCGATGTAGCTGTTGTCCCAAAATTCTACACGGCTTCAGACCATCACCTCCGTGCAAAATTCTATTTCTCGCAAAAAGGAGAAAAAGTAGCTAAATTTAGAAAACGAAACCATAGAACCACCATAAAGCCTATTCAGTTCATTAATCGGCTGCTGGGAAGATGCCGTTGTCGATAATATCGACGAAGAATACAATCGGCTTATCCAACATCTTCACGTTAGCTCTATGAAAGCTCAGAGTTCGAAAATCACCAAGATACGTCTGTCTCCAGAAACACTCGAGCTGATACACCAGCGTGGAAACAGACGAGCTGCAGGCAACCCCGAGATAACGTCCGAACTTGCAAAACAATGCAGGCAGGCGATCAAAGGGGATCTTAAAGACAGACGAGCAGCAGTAATGGTCGGGGCTGCAGAGGCTGGGAAAGCATTTGCAAAACCCAGCGAAGCCTCGCCAATTACAAGACCAAGATGATTGCACTCCGACACTCAGACGGAACAGTTACAGCGACCAGGAAGGCGATGGAGAAAATCATTCACGAATACTACAAAAAAAACTTGATTAATAAAATTCATAAAAATCTTAAATTCAACCCACCAAATAAAAAAACAAATAAATTAAAGAAACAGGCAAAAAATAAATTTCAGACTGATATCTATGACCAAATACATAACTCCTATATCTTTACTCAGGACTTCTAAATTTTAACAATACCTTAAATAGAATCTAAATCTTAAACACCCTATTATTCATTCAAATACAAATAAATCAAACGAGAAAAAATATAACTTTGAATAAAAAATCTAAAAGCTATCATACCATCTGCTACGTAATAAAAAGACAAAAAATAAACCAGTTAGTACTTGAGTCTAAAAGTTGAATGATAAAACTCTCCAATTAAATAAAATATCAATGTTGATGTATAATCATGCGCCAACGTTAACAACACTCTTGCATATGCAAACCATGAAAACCAGTAGACAAATAAAAAATCCTGCCATAAATTCCATCAGAAATAGAAAAACTCGCTCTGAAAACCATTTTCATCCCAAACAAAGCAGCCAATCAACTAAACACTTTTACCGCTGTTCTACTATTAAAAAAAATAAAAAGACAAAATCCTCATCAACAAAGCTAAAACGCCCTGATTTTTATTAATCAAGTTTTTTTATATGTGTTTTTGTTTATTTTTTTGTTGCAGTACGTGTTTATGTTTATTGATGAAAGTGATTTTCTGTTAACTCTGGAGTAATTCCTTATCCTATTCAAAGTCTACCATACTATATAATATTCTACCCTGGAAAATTTTTTAGTAAATATTAAAAACATTACAATACTAAAAAAGAATTTCCAAAGACACGACCATCCTGTTGACCAAAATTCATATGAATTCTGGCTTAGACAATTCCAAACGAATAATCAAAGAAAAAGCAATCCCCAACATACCAGATCACAACCCAAACAAAAAATAAAGCGTACTATGATTAGCTCCACAAATCTCTGAACACTGCCCAACTCGGATCCCTTAGATAGCCACGTCCACCTTCCGTCATATGAAATAATGGAGGATGGATATGTTGTACCATGGGTTCTCCCTTCCGAAATCCGACATGCCATTTCATCGGTGAAAACTCGAACAGCATCAGGTCCGGAAAGGATAACACCAAAACATGCGAGGTCCCTCCTTATTGGATGGCCAGCAAGACCGTTCTAATGTTCAAGAAGGGTGAGCAACACGATATCGGCAACTACTGCCCAATCTGCTTACTATCTGTCGTCGGAAAATTTTTCTCTCGAGTCATCCTAAACAGGATTGACAGAAGACTAGACGAAAGACAGCCACGTGAGCAACCAAGGTTTCGAAATGGATTTAGTACGATGGACCACAGCCACACGGTAGCATGCCTCATTGAAGTATCTCGAGAGTACAAAAGACCACTCTGTCTCAGTTTCATCGATTGACAGAAAGCCTTTCATTCAACTGAGATAGAAGCAGTCATGCAAGCCATTGATAGTCAAAGAGTCCCTGCTCAGTACACGAAGATTCTTCGTGAGCTGTACAAAAGTTTCATAACCAGGATATCATCAGTCTACAACGATATTATCATTGACGTCAAAAGAGGAGTTAGGCAAGGCGATACCAACTCGCCAAAATTATTTACCTCCACTCTCCAGAACGTCATGCGAACATTGGAATGGGATCATATGGGAGTGAAAATCGACGGTCGTCAGTTACACCATCTTCGCTTTGCTGATGACGTCATCCTTATAACACTGAACATTAGCGAAACGGAAAGATTACTTGCCGACTTTAATTAAGGCTATGAAAAATTGGTCTTCGACTAAATCTCACGAAAACGATGTTCATAAAGAACGGATTGGGTACGTTCGCCCCGTTCACGCTCAACGGAACGAGTGCCTCCGAATGATCCAGCTTCATGTAGGATCGGCGGAGTATTGAAAGAACGAGGAACACCCGACTCTGTGCTCACCTTTTCGACTCAACAATACTTCATGCCTTAACGTATTAGTCAGAAACCTGGTCGCAGCATGAGGAGAGTGAATGATCACTTGGCGTTATTGAATATGAAGCCGAAAAGACGATGCTAGGTGTATCCGGTGTCGCACAAGTAAGGGAAAGGATCCGAACCTCCGACCTGCGTCAGCGATCAAAAATCAAAGATGCCGTTCTGTACGACAAACAGTCGAAGATTGTTCGCGTGTTGAACAGTATGAGAAAAACTATGGTTAACTAATTATTTGTGGTCTTCAGTAATAATCATTAGAAAATGGCATACTATAGTATATGCTAACTTATAGCTGACCATCTCACACTTGTTGGTATCGCTCAAGAATTTCGAAAGGATTAGAAAACAAAAAAAGAAAGTGAGAAAGGGAAAAGGTGGAAACATTTCAAGAGCTCACACAAATATAGTCGTTTATAAAATTACAACATACACATACACATATACACACATATACGCGCAAACACATATACACACATATACACACATTCACACACATATACACACATATACATATATACACACATACATATACACACACGCACATATACACATATATACACATATACACACACGTACACATATACACATATACGCGCAAACACATATACACACATATGCACACACATATACACACATACACATATATATATACACAGACAACGTATAGATATAGTGCATACATAAATACAAACATGTACGGGTATAAAATTAAATAATTCGATTTCAGTTTAATGTCACACGGACAACTCATATGAAGCAGATCATACCCGTCGCAGGTATGGAGATCATTCATCGACGTGGGTTCAAGCTCGTTCAGTGTTGCACCACGCATGCATCTACTATAATAAGCTTCAAACTTAACTTCTGTTGGTCGAAAACTTCATGAAACATTAAACTGTCGTTTAAACAGAATCTCTAGCTCCAGAATCATTGGCCATCTTCTGAAGCAATTAAACTTGATACTGTGCTTGATTGTTTTCTTCCTTGTCATATACTGATTTAAGGTCCATCACCAACACCGCGCATAATTACCATTCCGCGCACGACGACGACGGCGACGACAACGACGACAACGAGAAGTACGACGGCTGCGACGACGACGACAACGAGGAGTAGTACTTCGGCGATAACTACCAGAATTATTCCAGTCATTTTTA